GGGTGACAGTGCTGTCCCCAGGGTGGGAATCCCACCCCCGAGGCAGATACCGGTGCCAGGGTGACAATCCTGTCCCCAAGGTGGGCACCAACATTAGGGTGACAATCCCACCCCCAGGGCAGGTGCCACTGCTGGGGTGGCACTCCTGTCACTGAGGTGGGTGCTGGGGTGACCATCCTGTCCCCAAGGCGGGTCCCAGTGCCAGCAGGTCAGTCCCCAAAGTGGGTGACAATGCTGTCCCCAGGCAAGTACCTGGGAACCAATCCTGTCCCCGAGGCGGGTCCCAGTGCCAGCCAAAGTGGGTACTGGCGCTGGGGTGACAATGCTGTCCCCAAGGCAGGTAATGGGTGACACTGCTGTCCCCAGGGCAGTGGTTGTGCTGGTGTGTCCATCCCCGGGTGCCCACACCAGGTGTCCATCCTTAGGCTGGGGTGCCCAAGCCAGGTGCCGGTGCCAGGTGTCCATCCCCAGGCCGGTGCCCAGTCCGGGTGTCCATCCACAGGCTGGGGTCCCGGTGCCAGGTGTCCATCCCCACACCGGTGCCCAGTCCGGGTGTCCCAGTGCCAGGTGTCCATCCCCACACCGGTGCCCAGTCCGGGTGTCCCAGTGCCAGGTGTCCCAGTGCCAGGTGTCCATCCCCACACCGGTGCCCAGTCTGGGTGTCCATCCACAGGCTGGGGTCCCAGTGCCAGGTGTCCATCCTCACACCGGTGCCCGGTCCAGGTGCCCGGTGGCCGGTGCCAGCTGAGGTAGGCGGCGCTCACACGGACGACTCCTCGGGGTTGGAGTCGGGCAGGGGCTGGCGCTGCTGCAGTTTGCGCCGCAGTTCCTCGGCCAGGTCGGCGCAGGCCGGGCGCTCCTCGGCGCCCAGCGCCAGCCGGATGTAGCCGTTGGAGGCCGAGCCGCGCAGMGGGCCCAGGTGGATGCGCGTGGGCGAGTGCAGCGGCTGCCCGGGGATGGCGGCCGGCGGAGAGGGGGCACCGGGGCCRCCGTTGCGGCAGCAGGCGCCGCCGGCCGTGCTGGCGTGGCCCGGCACGATCTTGAGCGACCCGTCCGAGTAGTAATAGCTGGAGGGGTCCCAGAGCTTCTCGTCCGAGTCGGAGGCGGCGCTGGAGGCGAAGCGCGGGCTGGGCGGCTCCTTGGGCAGCTCGATGGGGTACACCAGGGTGCTCTCGATGGCCTTGGCGCCCTTGCCCAGCTCCTCGCGCAGCCGGCGCCACAGCGACAGCGTGGCCAGCAGCAGCAGCAGGCACAGGGCGCCCAGGCACACGGCCAGCACCCAGACGGCGCCCAGCCCGTCCAGCGGCGCCCGCGCCTCCAGCGGCGCKCCCGGCCCGGCCAGCACGGCCACGCGGTACTCCTGGGCGGCCAGGCGGGCGCCCTGCTCCTCGGCCAGGCAGCGGTACGTGCCGCTGTGCTGCGCCCCCGCGCCCGGCACCACCAGCGCCCGCAGCCGCGCCTCGCCCAGCACCAGCACCTGCTCGGCCGCCAGCGCCCGGCCCTCGAACGTCCAGAGCGCCCGCGCCAGGTTGGAGCCCAGGCGGCACGTGAGCACCAGGTCCGTGCCCGCCACCACCGTCACGTTCTTGGGCGTCAGGGGCCCTGCGGGGAGCGGGCGGTCAGTGGGGATGGGATGGGATGGGATGGGATCCATGGGATGGGATCCATAGGATGGGGTGGGGTGGGGATGGGATGGGATGGGATGGGATGGGGTGGGATGGGATGGGATGGGATGGGGTGGGATCCATGGGATGGGATGGAAGAACCCGTGTGGCAGTGGGAGGGGCTCACCTTGATTGGCTACCTGTGGCACGGAGCAGGCGCCGGTGTCGGAGCTCAGCACATCCTGCACCAGGTGGGACCTGTGGGGGAGGGCACAGTGAGGGGGGTCCCCGTGGTGTCCCTGCACCCACAGAGTGTCCTGGGCCGGGGGGGACCCACAGGGGTCCCTGACCCACCCCCTGTCCCTGCACAGACACCCCAAATCCCGCTGTGCCCCCCTGGCAGCGCTGCCCAAACGCTCCTGGGGCTCTGGGGCTGTGCCCATTCCCTGGGGAGCCTGGGCAGTGCCCAGCACCCTGTGGGGACAGAAGAACCTTTCCCAAAATCCACCCTAAACCCCCCTGGCACAGCCCCGGCCGTTCCCTGGGTCCTGTCACTGTCCCAGTGCCCTACTGTGTCCCAAGGCTGTGCCCACTGGCCCCAGGGTATCCCCCAGGCTGTCCCCGCCATCCCCAGGCTATCTTAAGGCTGTCCCCAGGCCGTTCCCCCTGTACCCGCTGTCTCCAGACCGTCCCTACTGTCTCCAGGCTATCCCTGCCATTGCCAGGCTGTCCCCAGGCTGTCCCCAGGCTGTCCCCGCTGTCCCCAGGCTGTCTCCAGGCTATCCCTGCCATCCCCAGGCTGTCCCCACCATCCCCAGTGTCCCCAGTGTCCCCAGTACCCGTTGGCGTGGTCGGTGCGCACGCAGGCGCTGCTGTTGCGGCTCCAGGCGCAGTAGGGGTCCCGTGCCAGCACGCAGTCAGTGCACGACTGGTACCGGCCACAGTCGGCCAGCGGCAACTGAGCCACCTGCACACGTGAGCCGGCGAACAGCAGCTTCTGTGGGGACAGGGACAGGGTGAGGGACAGGATGGGGGACACTGCCAACCCCTGCCCCCAACAGCAGCTTCTATGGGAGGGGACAGTGGTAAGTGATCCCTCTGGGACACCATAGTGACACTGCCATCCCTGCCCCAAACAGCCGCTTCTGTGGGCTGGGGCAGCAGCTGAGTGACCCTGGGTGACCCCGCAGTGACCCCACAGAGACCCTGGGTGATGACCCCCCGCTGTCCCCGCTGTCCCCTCACCTTGGTGGCCGCCAGCACCAGGCTCTCCACGGGCTGTGCCGGCTCGAACACCTGCAGCTCCTCCACCAGGTGGATGCGGCTCCCCAGGTCCAGCGCCTTGTGCACCCACCCATCACCTGCGGGGACAAGGAACTCAGGGACAGGGCCACCCACCCTGGGCACTGTCCCCATGGTGCCCTGTGCCCCCTGTGCCCCATCACCTGCGGGGACAGAGCGGGCACTCAGGGACAGGGYCACCCACCCTGGGCGCTGTCCCCATGGTGCCCTGTGCCCTCAGTGCCCCATCCCCATGGCACCCTGTGCCCTCTGTGCCCCGTCACCTGCAGGGACAGGGCACTCAGGGACACGGCGACCCACCCTGGGTGCTCTCCCCAGGGCACCCTGTGCCCTCAGTGCCCCATCCCCTCTGTGCCCCATCCCCTCTGTCCCTGTCCCCCCTGTCCCCCTGTCCCTGTCCCCTCATTACCTGTCCCGATGAACAGCACCTCGTACACATTCCCGTCCAGCCCAGCCACGCGATCCACCACGAGCTGGGTGAAGTTGGCGTCCCTCTTGAGCAGCAGCGGGCGCCCGCGCTGGGGTGGCACCGCCTCGTCCATCAGCGGGTGCTTCTTGGCGAAGTTGAGCGTGTTGTCCGGCAGCTCCAGAGAGCTGCCAAAGCCGTTCTGCCGGTGCCAGTCCGTGATGCACTGCGGGCACGGGGGGCATCAGGACACAGGGGACATGGCAGGGGACCCCAGATCATCTCAGGAGGGCACAGGAGGCAATGCCAGGGCATGGCAGGGCACGAGCAGGGCATGGGGGGCATGGCAGGGTATGCTAAATCCTCAGGAAGGCATGGGGGCACAGGGATGGATCCCAAATACTCCCAGGAGGGCACGGGGGGCACAGGGATGGATCCCAAATCCTCTCAGGAGGGCACAAGGGGTAACGTCAGCGCACGGAGGGCACAGGTATGGATCCCAAATCCTCTCAGGAGGGCATGGGGGGCACAACCAGCCCCACAGACAGATCCCAATCCCCAGAGGGCACCCCCAGCTCCACACAGGGATCCCAATCCCCAAAGGGCACCCCCAGCCCCATGGATTGATCCCAATCCCCCAGAGGGCACTCCCAGCCCCACAGACAGATCCCAATCCCCAGAGGGCACCCCCAGCCCCATGGATTGATCCCAATCCCCCAGAGGGCACTCCCAGCCCCACACAGGGATCCCAATCCCCAGAGGGCACCCCCAGCCCCACCCCCAGCCCCCCTGCCCCACGGGGGTCCCGGTGGGCACTCACCGCGCCGGGCCGGGGGCTGGGCACCTCATCTGAGTATCGGCCCCACCGCTGCGCCTGCTCCCGGTACTCCTTGTAGGGCCCCTCGAAGGCCTTGCGCACCTCCAGGATGTGGTAGCGGCAGATGGCAGACACATCCACGTCCCCCCTGCAGGCACATGGGGCACGGGCTGTCACACCCTGGGCATTGGGACCGGGCCACCATGGACACCATGGGCACCAGGACACTGCCATTGTGGGCACCATGGGCAGACATGTCCATGTCCCCACACGGGCATGGCGGTGTCCTGGGGCTGTCACACCCTGGGCACAGGGACAGGGCCACCCTGGGAACAGGGACACTGCCACCATGGCCAGAAATGTCCACATCCCCACTGCGGGCACACGGGCATGGCAGTGTCCTGGGGCTGTCACATCCCAGGCACAGGGACACGGCCACCACAGGCAGTGAGACAGGGACAACATGGGCAGCACCATGGGCACTGGGACAGGGCCATTGTGGGCACCATGGGAACTGGGACAGGGCCATTGTGGGCACCATGAGAACTGGGACAGGGCCACCACGGGAACCGGGACAGGGTCATCATGGGCACTAGACAGGGCCATTGTGGGCACCCCAGGCACCTGGACAGGGCCACCATAGTGACTGTGGGCACTCCAGGCACTGGGACAGGGCCACCATGGGTACCAGGACAGAGCCGCTACAGTGACCATGTGCACT